TTTCATTTACTTTTCATAAAATAAACAATAAAATTTTTCATTACGTAAAGTTTGCATCTGATTAAAAAATGATTGTAACTTTGTTTGATTCTCAATAAACTCTCATCTACACTGGAAAAATTGATACTTGAACATAGTTTTGCAAAGCTTTTCAACAAAAAAAAATTTTTCATAGAATACTAAGTAACTTTTCTTAATCAGAAAAAAATTCCGGCCATTGGAGGTTGTGGGTATTCGGTTTGAGAGTGGCTAGAAAAGAAACCAACATGCACGCACATACCAGATATCCACACCATCACACTGTGTGATACGATTAATTTCAAAGACATCAGCAAAAAAACTGCTCAACATATGTTGTCAATAATGGAATAATTGCCATAGATTAGATTGTTGAATGATGTTATTGAAAAACTTGTAAGAAACGTATTGTGACCCAAGAATGTAAGAAGTCATTTTTTGTCTACCTAATTTATCTTAAGATGTATTTAATGAATTTTGCAAACGAATAGTACTAGAATAGTGATATCGATTAGTACCGATTCACATCCGAAGAGGGTGTGGATGTGCATAAAAAGAAGGCATACACTATACACTCACGCCCACATCCTCGATCATGTATAAATAATCAAACAATTGAAGAAAGTGAGGCAATATCAAAGAGAATCGTTTTCAAATTGTATTATGATTATTTTCATAGTTCTTTAGCATTGTCTCCACAAAGAAATTATGATAATATGTTGACAGGCATCGATCAGTAATTTCTACCTATATAAATCATGCGCTTATTTGAAAAGATAAACATTAAGTTCAAAATCGTTTATAGACAAGAGATGAAATTGTGAATATTATTCTATTTTCTTTTTGGGATGAAGTCGTTCGTCATTCTTCCAATCTTGATATCGAAATATTGGTATAAACCATCCAAGAATATTCAATAGAAAGACAATCCAATAAAAAGAATTTAACTTGCTTATATTATGCTTCGAAGCTGTTTGAATTAGCTTATTTTCTAATGGTAATACATTTATAAAAACAGTATAAAGTACACCAAGCAATTGTAATGCTGTTACAATATCGATTAAATTACGTCTTGTTGTAGATTTTCTTGTAAATATTTGAAATAAATCCCGAACGGTAGTAATAATAGATAGCGGTATGATAATATTTGAAACTAATTGCCACCATTTCCATATTGGTGCCTGACCTTTGAAGATTAAGTAGTCGCGATAAAGATCTAACTTATTTTCTTGAAGAACATAGGTGGATAAACTTAATTCAATAGTTTGAACAGTTAAAAAATATGTACCAAATAGTAAACCCATTATCAATTGTGATATTGAAAATGGTTCTTTATATAATTTAGCATCATCGTACTTTTCATTTTTTGTCGTTGACATCTTTGAGAGAAAAAAATATCTAAATATTAAAAGAATCATTTGTGCAATAAATCTGGATTAATTGTCTCATAAAAAAATTCTGCGTAATAGTGATAAATAAATTTTGAATCTTGAGATTTTCAAAAAAAACAACTTTCCGTAGAAATTCGTTGTAAATGATTTCATTCTTTTTGTGTTGTTAGTTTTTGTATTGTATCTTCATATTATACCGGCACTTGATAGATAATAATTTTCTTTTTTTGATAAAGTATATTTGCAAGTAGTCCGCTGATATACAGAAGTAAAGTGTCGATGAAAGCGTAATGTATGATGTGACCGATGAAAAAACGAAAGAATACAAGTCCGTTTCTTTTATAGAATAAAAAGTTGGGTTACTCTTCTATAATTTTCAGCGTACTATCATTATGAAGTGGAGTTACAAGAACTTACTTTACAATAATGATTTTCATGACACTGTAGAAATGCAGAAAAAACAGAGAAAAAAAGGAAACGAAATAAAGTAGTGAAATAGAACAAAGAAATAAATTTGTGTGAATTTCAAGTAAACATAACATCTATTCTTTCGATCGAAAAGTGCATTATTTATACTAAATCTGTCGCTGTCTACTCAGTGAATATTTTTTTTTCACGTTCGTTTTGATGTGTTGATTGTAATTATGCGTGTTGTCGATTTGAGCACGTGTGTACGTTGAGAAAAAACGAAAGAAATGTCGTTTTTTTTGCGTTTCTTCTTACTCACTACCTAACAAATAGCTGAATGTATGCATGATAAATGAGACGAAAACGCATAACTCTCGCTATCAAAAGCAAGAGGACAAGAACGAATCACAGATAAAAGAGAGATATTTATAACACAAGAAAAAAATTGTACCTGCAGACAGGATAATACCTATCCATGCAAAGATAGTGTCTGAAATTCTCCTGTACCAAATTAATAATGTGTAAGAAACGTCCTTCGTCTGTCAAATTATTCGGCGATAATACATAAGTTGCCAGTCATTTTGTTTACTAAAATGGCTAAAGATGACAGCTGGACACAGAAAATCTGAACTGCTTTGACCGGCATTAATGAACTTCGGAAATGAGACAGTTAATTGGTTCTCTTTTACTTTTTTGTCCTCTTTGTATTTTTTTTTCTGTTTTTAACACAACATAGGGTGTGGGTGTATAGTCGTCTTGTCCACATCGAACACTCTCACTCCATCCTCATGTGTTTCTTATCGTTGATCACTTTTCTTCTGATAGTGATCATGTTTACACTAAAATTCTCGTTGCCTATTCTCATCCAGAACAATACCGGTACAAGCCGTCTTATCATTCGTGGAGATTGTTTGGTTTTTTGAGCCTGTTATCAAACTCTTTTGATATAAAGGCAGTTTGTTCAATGTTTGTGTGACCATCAAATAAGCAATGATAGTATTCAAAAGAATTAGTTTTAATTAGATGAACAGTCAATGTTTTACCCTGTCGGTAATTTTTTTCTCACCGCTCTTAATTATGGTTACGATCATTCATAAGCCTCTGCATTCATGATGTATTCAATAATAACGAAAAGACACAAATCTAGTGATTGACTCGTTCTTCAGCCTATATGTAAAATTACGATACAGTTATTCTGTTTTTTTCCACATAGTCGCTTCTTCCTCGACAATCTCATCTCTGTTCTGTTCATCATGTTTACAGCTGCCCGTCGTCGATCACTAGTTAGAATTAGACACAGTTGCAAGAAGCATCTTCGTAAACAGTTCGATGAGCATTACGCGACTCATTCTTGATCCCATAATTCTAGTTGTTCTTTCATTACTTCGACCTAGTCATATCGTTCTTGTCCTGATTGTGATCAACCACATCGGATTAGTGTCACGAGTAGGTAATCACCAATTGTACATCACCTTCCTTTCTTGCTTTGTTCTCTTCGAAACTCGTAACAAAGGATATTTAATATTGATTGTATAAGACGAACAATATTTATTAGGATATATCGATCATCATCACAAACAAAAAATAGAACATTCATAATACACGTGCAAACTTTCAAATTAAGCTCTAGTGATCACTGTATAATGATTGAAGAAGCGAAAGTTACAATGAAACATGAATATGCGATAATTGAAATTCACATACTACAAGTTAAACACGATCAAGAAATCAAACAGTGAGCTGAAGATTTTACATCGATTCAAGAGAAAATCGTTAACAGCATCGGCGAAACAAATATATAATTGAAAGACGAGTTCCAAATTGTTAGTAATAAGCTTGTCTCTCGCATCATGTCAACTACTTCTCAGATAAACACGAAATCAAAAGAACATTAAAGAAGAAATGGTAATAGTTATTGAGGAAAATGTGCAAAAGCTTCGCAATCAAATCGAAAATGACAACAGAACTAAATACAATCACATGAGCAAGTAATTGTTCTGAAAGAAATCCAAGCAATCAAGCGCAGTTTGTTTTGTGTGAAGAATGTGACACAAAATGGGGAAGGAACACAACAGCTGGGCAATAATCACAATCTTACCTTATTTTCGTTATCACTCAAACAGATTTGGCAAGATTTGAGCATTTCATCATCTATTCACACCAATTCGTTGGAATTTAACAGTAACAAAATGCAAACGATTTCTCTCTCATCATCAACAAGCGAACATCGGTGACAGATCTGATTCGCGTCGAAAAAATTTACTGGAACTCTACACATCCAGGATGAAGATATGTTATTGAGAGGTATCTTACAATTTTAAAAAGAGATAGCACTCAAATACAATTGTCGACTACTTTGATGTCATTGCCTACGAAGAGCCTGAGTGGAATTTAAGAAAACATTTGTCGTACAATTTAATTCTCTCATTCAAATGGCACAACAAAAATAGCCATGGAACGAATGCAAATAAAATAAAGAAGAGATAATTAATGACAGATCTTTGCATTAACTTGTAATTTACGTTTTACTTATTAGGCCAAATATTTTTCAAGTAAAATTTTCTATTTTTAACTTTATTTTCTGTTTCATTTTAGTTTAAACTTTTTCGAGTAAGTTTTGTTTTTATTTCCATTGAGTTTTTGTATTTACTTAGTCGTTCGATAGTTCAATATCAGAGAAGTGAGTTTCCTTCTTTTCTTCTCCATCCTAAATTGATATGTTTCTCTTTTCTATTTAGTCATGATTTTTATCCGTAATGGCATCAATCAAGTGAGTAAACTGTTTTTGACTATTGGAGGGTGGAGGTAGTTAGGTATAAGAATGTTAAGGATAGATTCATACAGAGTATCTAGGTGAGTCATACTTCTATGAGATTTCTCGTGTAGGCTCCTGTTAACTACAGACGTTCTGGACAGGTCCTAAAATCTCGCTTAGAAACTACCTTGGTGTTCGTGGCACTCGACCGGGCATTCTCACACACTTATACATGTCATGTGTATAAAAGTCTGTTCCTTGCTTGCATGGTCATTGTGTCTCCACTGCTCCACTAAGGTGATTTCACATTGCGCATGCGCGAATAGAATAGAAATGGAATTTACTTCTACCTTTGAGTGGCCACTCTCTTCTATTCATCGTCATTTATTTGATTGAAAAGACAAATATAATTAACTATCGCAATAAGTCTATTCAAGAAAAAATCGCTGAACTCGATGATTCCAACGATCAACGATAAAGAGGTTGCCGTGTTGATCGAAGGACAAGCCCCTAGGGCTGTGAAGCTGATTAGCTTCTTTTCCTTCATCATTGCCGCCCACAATGATAGTACCCTGTTTTGCTCCCTTAGGCCAACGTATCACTCGGTTATTCGACGAGTCTGTCACATAGATGGTACCCAACGCGTCAACGAACAGTCCTGAAGCACTCGACAATTGTGTCAAAGCATCCCCTTGACCTCCAAAGACGATAATACCTTCTTGTGCACCTTTGTTCCATTTCATCACACGATTGTTGAACCAATCTGACACATAGACAGTCTGTTGTTGATCGAGAAAGAGCGAGGTTGGCCAGTTGAGCTGATTAAGAGCGGCACCTCGGCCATGACCACCGGCCACGACGATTCCATTCTTGTCTTCCATTCGATATCGTCTTACTTCATGTTTTTCTGTGTCAGAGATGTACAGATATCTTTGATTATCCATGGCCAATCCAAAACACCAGATGTTGTCGAGTAGAACTTCTCCTTCAGTTGTGCTACTGAAACGAGACCATCGTACGACTCGTCGATTCCTCCAATCACAAATAATCAGACTACTCGTCTCCTTGTCGATCAACACATCACTTGGACCCTTCAATTGATCTAATCGATTTCCTTCGCCGTGGCCACCTGCTACTACTTGCCCATTCGTATCACCTATCTTCCACTGCATAATACGATGATTATTGTCGTCAACAATAACTATAGTTTGATCATCATCAAGTAAGAGATCAAAAGGGCTGTCGAGTTGATTGGTGGCATTGCCTGCTCCATGGCCACCAGCAACGGTCACTCCATTCTGTGCCCATCTGGCATTGACTGGAATATTGGGATTCACTAGAATGAACAAGAAAAAAAGAGAAAGCTATAAATGAGACACTCTTTCTTCAGAGAACTTGATTAACATTTCGAGAATTTGCTTCTCTAACCTGTTCTAAAAAAGAAAAGATACTTCTTGAAGATATAAATCGAGGATACTTTTTTTGTTTTCGCATAAAAAAAGGTATTTCGTAACCGTTCCTCAATCAATATCATTTCTCCGTCTCAATCCTGTTCATTCTCTGAGAACGTCTAGTAGGGTCTCTCAGAATCCAGTCTCGAATCTTGCTTATTCCGCATTTGTNAGTTCAAATACTATATGTACAAGTCATTTTTCGCACATATATTTTTGTACTTCGATACTACTTATATTCCAGAAGACATCGAAACTAATGTGATCTTAATGGTATTGATAAATTTCAGAAAGGTTCTTGTAGCCTACTATTGAATTACTCAGTTGATTGCATGAAAAATGAACGCAAATAATCCTAATGTTCTTATGTATCCGAATTGTCAGGACCGTAAAAATCGAATATCTTCCTCTAACCAAGCCAATAGCCGCCAATATTTTAACCTTGTTAGTTTGGTAGTGAGAGCTTTTATATGAACCGAATGTACCGATATTGATGGCACGTTTCGGTTATGTCCTTCCTTCTCTATCTGTTCTCGTTCCATTGTTCTAATATATGTTCACATCTCTCTTTCTTCTTCTCTCCCATATATATATACGTGTGTTATGAATGAAGTTGCGCACTCTGAATATGTGAAGTAGCTAAATAAACATCATTGCCGAGAGTGGCAGCAAGTTACTCAAGTCAGTTTGTCGTTATAGCGAATATATCCTATCTTTCTAATTATCAACACAAACACCTCATTGTAAATGTAGAATGTTGTAGATATTCTTCATTTTTACTCATGTACTTATACGTACTTAGACACATTAAAATATAAGCAGAAGATGAATCTTTTACAAATCAAATACCAAATGTATGATAAAGTTATTATATTTATACATTCATCTCAATTCATAAGAGAAAATATTTCAAGATAGGTGGTCTCATAAGACTGAGGCGCTTGCGGATGTGGATGGGAGTGGGGTGTGAATGTCATTGATATAAATATCCACACTGATAGCTGTATCCAAACCCACATCCAACACTCTTATACGGATATCTGCTTGCCCGATGTTATTTTTCGAAAAATTATCGTTTCAAAATGTAAATCACGTATCATGTTTGTGATAACGGGTCATTCGGCTATATAGAAAATAAAAAGCATGTAATAAGACCCTCAAACAGGGTCGAGATGTGACATGGTTAGTATGACACGCCGCACACGCTTTTGTCATAATATTCATTAACATCAACAAGTGGTACAAAATTTATTCTCCTTACGGATGAAGCCATGTAAATCACGAGAATTTTATTTATGATATATAAATAATAAAATTTTCACGAACATACTTATGCCAAACAAAAAGCACATTAATCACATTCAACTTCTATTTCGCTTCAAGAATCGTTGTTTGAGAGATGACCTAGAGTGATTCTCTTAAGGATAACTGATTTATTGAAAGGGAGTTTTTCTTTCAGTTCAGTGAATATGTGAAACTTTTCGTGTCATTAAAATCCTCCTTGCAAGGGAACAATTCGATTGGATTGTCGGTACCAAAATATCCGCTCCTTCACCGATTGACGAAAGCGAGGTGACGAATACATGAACGCGTAAAATCGTCCCTAGAAATAGACAAGAGAAAACGAGTGAACAGTTGTATCAACTAAAAATTGAGAGTACATACAGTGAAAGGTAATGAACATAATAAAAGAAGAATCGTGTGGGCCAATTGTTCTTTGGTCTTCCGCTCTTGATTCTTTTCTACATTGATCGTAGCTAGAGAATAGATGTTGTAAATTCCAAACGGGATGAAACCGATTAAACAAAGTAGAACTTGAATGTGAACCATTGCAATAAGTTGGCGATCGAAGTGCTTTCTTGAAAGAACAATTGTCATTCCTATGTTTCGATATGTAAGAAATCCGAATATGATCATTATAGAGCTAGGTATCCCACAAATAACGACGATAATGAAAACGGGAACATAGATGGCAAAAGTGGCATTGGTATAGCCACACACACCAGTAATAGCAGATAGATTCTCGTTGACAAGCCAAAGAATACCATGAAGCCAAGCAACGACAACAACAAAGAAGGCAGCTCGATGAGCATTTTTTGTGTTGCTCACCTGGCGAAGTTGAACACTCTGGGATGTGACCAAAAATTGATCGATAGTAACCAAGCCCGATAAAACTACAGGTATGACAGCCAAAGACGTAGTGAAGAAGTTGTGGGTCTTGCACCAGATGGGAAAACGCCTAAGATCGATGCTGAGATACGAGGCGATGACATTCGGAGCTAGAGTGGCTATGAATTGGCCAAACTCGTGGACAGAAGCAGTGAGAAAAAAGAATGTACATGGAGTCTTGCGATAAGAGGGAACAGACAAAAATATAAATGTCTGCATAAGGCTGCCAACTATGCCTGTGATGAAGACAACGAGGCCGACGTACATCATATATTGCTGAGTAACGAAGGACAATGAAGACATAGTTTTTGTGAGATCTTTAGCAGTGATGTCAGATGCAATTAAGAGTGAATCTTATTGTGCAACAAGACGAACAGATGATAAATGTCAATCTATAAAAAGGAAAAGAAATTCAACTTTTCACTATCATTTTAACAAGTGATTTACAGATAATGATTATGAATCCTTTCAGATTGGGATTAGTTTGAACAGAAATAAAAATTTTTAGGAACTACTACTTTTATTTAGTTCGTGACTCTGATTCGCTCAACATTTTTGCTGACTAAACTTCTGTCCCTTTTGCTGTCGTTGCTAGTTTAATATAGGAAAAAAAATAAAATTTCAACGACTTTAGTAATTATCATCCAGAATAATCGTTTATTCTATCATCCATTCCTTATATAACACGCGTAGAAGAAGCATACCGATAAAGCGAGAAACTAAAGATAAAATAAAATAGCGAGAATAGGAAGAAGCATAATCCAAACATAATGAGCGAAGAGGCAAGCGCTTAAATCTCTAGAGACTTATTGTTATGAAAGAAGGAAGGACAAAGTGCGAAGTAACAAGGCATATCAATGGAAGCTTAAAAGGTCATGCATGAACAATTACTTCCACCAAGATGTGAGCGCAAATAATGACATATAATAAATTCAGTGTGGAATGTAAAAAAAAAGTGCTTCAAGTACCATCATAAACATGCGCAGATAAGTTATGAATGGCTTCAGAACCATCACGTACATATACGAAACCTGCTCTGAAGGGGCTAAAATAGTTCGTCTAAGGATTCATTATTTTTCAGTCACGGACATTGAGTCCTTAAATATTTGTCAAAGCATAATCGAATGACGTATTTCTTTCAGAAGATTCGATTCCCGAGAAAAATGATGCAAGTGCATAAGAAGTACCACGCATGCGTTTGTTAACGTAAACACTAGCTGTTTTGAGCATGATAATATATGAAAAAGATGAAAACAAAATAGACTTTTACAAAAAGATAAAAGTTTTGCTTCTATTAAAAAGGTTGAGTGCATTCATTAATCAAGTGAGAGAAGCAATTGGGTATGTCTGGTAGTGCGTGAATGCTACAAGTAAACAGACCACTCTAAAGATACGTGCCTTTTCAGCCTCCGATATATATTCAACCAGGCATTGATCTACTCTAGGATAATGGTGGAATTTTTATTAGATATTGCAACGATGTTTCTGTGAATATCTCAGCTTATGATCAATATCTAGAGAACACTGTTTTTTTTCTTTATTTTTCACATCTTCTAGCAAATATTCAAGCAACTATCTTCGTGATGTGCTGAATTGTGGTCTAGGATGGATTCTGGGTATAGGTTTTATAATACTTGTACTCACACATCCAACAATTGATAAAACCTTCGAGTTTTCAATGTGATAATGATATGAAAATGATTGAAGAAGATAAGCTAAATAAAGAAATTCTGTGACATATTTTAGATAATAACTACAGTTGTGATTTAGAAATATTAACTTGACAGACATCTAACCTTTATTGAGTAAAAATACTTGAGGACAGAGTTAGACAACTCAATGCAAAAAACGACCAAGTCAACTAAACTCAATTCAATTTATAACCTTATCGAATTCAATTGACAAAAATTTTGCAGGGTCTGTTAGTAGAGTTGAATTTAGTTGAAACATTGTTTAAATATGTATGAATCAGAACCCAATCCGCAGAAGATCTTTTGCTAACTATTTCACCTCGTCTCGTCTCGCCCCGCCATAAATACTTTTCTTCCTTTCTCAACTGGCCCCACCTCGACATTACTTCTCTATTCGCTCCCGGTTTACCTCTTTCCGTGTTAAATTCTCGTAGCCCTCTCCTGATCCTGCACTTTAATTGAATTTTCTTCACTAAATTGTCAAGTATTTATGAGAAATTTCTTTTCTTTCGTTTCGTCGTTTGTTTCAATCTATATCGGGGAAAATAGATTTAAAAACACAATGGTGTCTAAAAAATATAACTCGATATCAAGAAAATGTTGTTACGTTTTTTTATTCTCTATCGAACGAAGAAATAGAATACTGTAAAAACTTATCGAGTATAGATTAGATTTTCTTTAGTGGACAACTGAATCTGTTACCGAAAACTATGATGTGAGTATTCACGTAGCTGGATGGAGGTGAGGATCAGGAGACCCACACCCTTACAATACACGAACATAAACAAGCACACACGTACCCCACAACCTGTTCTTGCAGTCATCGTAATGTTATTTCTAATCTTTTATTTGGCTATCAAATTGTTTTCATTGTTTATATCGTTATATATTCCAACAGCTGTTATTATTCCATCATTTAAATGACTCTCTAAAGCATTTTCTTTTCATAAAAGTGACAACATTCTATCCTAACTACTTGAATCGCATAATCTTTGTTAAACTAAAGTTTTCATTTCACTAATATCAAGTAGGTTGGTCATTATATTTTTCTAAATATCTTTCTCTATTTCAGCAAGATATTTGATTTTAATTATAACTATTGAACAATGCATAGTACCGGACTCGTATAATCACTGAGAATTTTCAATGTACACATCTGGTATCTTACTGGGTATGGGTGTGGGTGTGGGTGTGGGTGTGGGTGTGGTGTTGGTGTAGGTCTGGATGTAGGTGTGGGTGGGTGTGGGGTGTGGGTGTGGGTGCGGGTGTCAATGAGCACAGGAGCTGGGCCCACACCTACACACACAACCACACCCACCCACACCCACACCCCACCCACACCCCTACCCTGTAAATTGGAAACAATAAACTTAGTGAAAAAAAAAAATTGCATCATCATTTTGTCTTAATTTTAAAATTTCAGTGTACTTATGTTATCACATGTCATTTCTATCGAGATCCTCTCTCGCCTCGACGATACATGAGAGCTATGTTTAGCACACTGTATCTCATACAACTATTTATCAGATAACTATTGAAAGTAGACATATACTGAATTCAAGAGATAATGAGAAATATTGCTTCTAGTGCATATTAATTGGTTGACTTCTAGTAATTTGGACTTATCCAAGTCGATCATTCCAACTGTTGGAAACGACGTCTTATCCGGCCTGAAACGGCTATAAAACGGTTTAATCCATGCCATAAACGAAGAAGCCTAGCTCCATTTTTGGTTGTTTTCCACCGGTTTTGGGTCTGTAATGCATCATAACAAATTACAGAACCTGTTTCACAGAAGCGAAAACGGCGCTCTATCATGCCGTTTCCACTGAATAACGATGATCAGTTTTGACACGGTTTTCTTGCCGTATACGACCTATTTTCATTACTCGAATAGTATCCTAAGTAACATCCTGCTGGCACTTGTATTTATAATACAAAGCATTTTCTTACATGCATCCACAGTAGATATATAAACAAGGAGGGCACACATACAGAATAATCATACCTTCTATGTGTAAAAGTATTATAAAACATTTTTTAGAAAATGTAGCCTACTGATTAAAAAACCTTTACTTTCAAAGATATATTTTTTAACAGGTAGCTCACTAGTTTTTTTCACCGTTTTTAAACGCTTACGAGCTGTTGTTTCGATATGCGATGAGAAATATTATTGAAACTTGGATAAGCTTTCTACTAGGCATCTAGACAATAGATTAATGGATTCTATTGTCTATAGAGTCATCCTCAAGTTCTGTAATCATTGATTATAATGAAATATAAAGAAAAAACAGATTTTACAGAATAGTGCTTTTTTTTGTTTTCTCTTTTTTTAAAACTGGACAACAAGAAAGACAAGAAAATCAAATTTAAACACACATGTGATCATTATTTGATTTTGTGCTTTGTAGACATCTTCTCATGTCGCCTCTTTTTTAACAACTGCTCCGCATTACTTGCATTGTACGATTCACTGTATAGGATACCAACTAATCATAAGTATTCCTTCTAACTTCTAATTGATCACATGCTAGCACCAAAGCTTAGCCACAGAGGAATCCTATGAAAAGAGACCTTCGTTCGATTGTAGTTCGTTTTTCATTCTGCTTCAACCGATAGAGTATCAAATCTGAATGCACGTTTTTTTTACAATGAAGACAGAGACTAGGGGATTTTCGAGGGTCGCCAATCCGAATCCGAAGTCAGATTGTGCTTATTATTAATATTCTTATGATTATTAATATTTTTAAAAAAATTTTCGAATTTTATCAAATTTCTGCAGATTTTTTTCTTAACTTTTAACAATTTTTTAATCTTGTTTAATTATTTTTTTTAATGATTACTTTTGGCGAAGCTTTTTGGAAAATCTCAAAAATTATTAGTACTTTATAGTAAGAATATTAATAAAATGAAAATCTCATCTATGTCGTTTCTTTTAGCAAATTCGATGCAGTTGCGTGTAAGTGCAATATATTTTTTCGCAATTGCGGATCAGTGTGCGATTGCAGTTACACGTAACTACGTCGCATTTTGACTGCAATTGAACACATGGGTCAGTGTGATCTATCAAAGGATAAATAAATTTTTTGTTTTGAACAGAATAAATATCTCAAGTTTTGAAATAAATCTCAAGAAAGTCTTCTTAATCTTTTAATTCGACTGATTTACATTGGTTTCAACATTTTAATACAAAATTAAGTGAAGAAACAGTATTAGTTTATTTTAATAAAATAGAAAATCCATTTGTGATCGATTGAGTTTAAATGAATCAATTTATATGAAAAATTTCGTTAAATAGACTGAATATTTTGATGTTTATGAGGTTGATGCATACCCAGACCATTCTTACTCGATCGTATACCAACGAATTACGGGGGATAACGGTAGCTGTTTACGCTAGTCATTTACAGTAGTCCTAAACGATTCCTTATGGCGTATTGCGACCACTGTAAACAATGACCGTAAAATGTCACAGTTAACAGCTCGCGTTAAAAAATGGCGACTGTATACGCTCATCGAATAATATCGCGAGGCATCGTATGGGTCAACTGTAAATGGTGTAATAAAAGATCATCGTTTTCTAACCTACTTCGTCTTAAACAGTGATTAACTTCGGCGATCTGCACTCATTGAACATAAGCAACATATGCTCCTGACCGACTTTAGACATCGCTAAATATCAACATTTCCTTAACAAAAAAAAGTCGAGAAACAGTCAGCAGCTGCACTTATCACAGCATTTTCAAAGCATTTAGTATGTTAAGAACTGTTTATTTTTGCAAAACTGATTAATATCGTCGAGCATATTACTCAAATGCACGAGTCTCACCAGCGTTTCCACAGAAAAGCGAACATTCAGAGATCCATATCTTTAATCCGATTCCTAATTGAATTCGGAGAGAAGAAAAACGACTTAAAGGTATTTCGCGTCAATCCACGTCGAATATGTAACCACTAGGAGCCACAAGTGACTCTCAAGACAGATTTAAGATATAATGTGACAGGTAGCGAAGTAGCGCAAAATTCGAAAAGGGTATGTGCAATTTATCACTCAGCAAAGACTTTATTTTTATTTTGTAGAAAAAAGGCAGTCAAACGTTCAGTGTTTTGCTTTTGCGACGAAACTCGTTAAACTTATGTTAGCGGTGTACAAAAAATATCGATTTTTTTACATGAAAATGTTCTTTCCTTGAAACCTACTTTATGTCGCGCATATATATGAGAATTAGTATTCCATCCCCAATGTTGGAATATTTTTGCTTTTCTTCAGTGAAACTTTTGCATTTATTTATTTATTTTTTTGTTCATCTATGGCCTTCGAAATCGTCAATGCTATCTCTCGAGTCGTCATCAGCGTTTTCTACCAATGATGATGATCTGGGACAGTTTATAAACATTTTACTGTTTCATCGTAGAATAGTTCATTGATGATAAAAATGCAGCAACAATTTGCCAATTTCATGTCTCCATACGACTAATGACAGTTCTGTTGGTCGTTTCGATACTTTTTTTCTATTCTAGATTTACGAGTCAATGATATATAAGCGAATGATTTTCTTTATTATCTGCTTCTTGTTTGTGTCTAGTCTTGAATGACGTACTATTCGAGAACAGTAATCAAGGTCGTACTCATGGTTAGATCATTGTGCTGGTAATTCATGCTCAACATATGACAACTGTGATGGATCATTGTTAATTTGTTTGAATGGCAAATGTTGAAGTGATTTATCGTGAAGTGATAGTGATGGAACATGTTCATCCTCCAGTTTATTGCAAAGCACTAAGTAGTTTTCGTATTTTATTTATTCACATAAAGTATATCGAAATAATTTTTTTCTAGTATCTCAATATACGTGTTCTTCATTGTGAACTACCTGAACCATTCTCATGCTAAACAGTTTCCGAGAGCATGGTGATAATAGTTTTGATGACGCATGCTATGTATCATTGCATCCAGGCACACAACATGTTGTCGCTTTGCCAACGGGATGGTTTTATCGAGGTAGTCGATGTGAGAAGCACTCGATATGCTGAAAAATGATCCACGATATGGAGAGATAAGTATTTTATGGAATGATTAATCATTAGTGTTGAAAATAAGTAAAGATTAAACAATGAAAAATGATATAATTGATTTGATATTGTCTTTGATAACTTTGCAGGAGGAATGTTCAGTTCAATCATTATTGTGCTATGACTGTTATGAAAGAATTCTGCAGAGAAGAATCATAAATTCCATTTCAACTAAATCTTTTCCTACGCTTTCCGACAAAGACCTCTATTCTATGAAGCTCATTGATCTTCATATGGTATTGAACTTGTTCCATTAAGCACTTTATACACAAGCGAAGTAACATATAATTTACGCATCACACTTGTCGCTCGCACTTTTCCTTTCTTTTTACTTTCTAAAAAGCAAGGAAAGAAAAGTTGAAAACTTCCTTTTTCTTTACGTGTTCAAAAGAGACAACTAGATCTTTTTTGCTGATCTAGTGAGAAAATAATTAAAGAAGTCAAAAGAATGACATATTCGTAATCAACATTAGCATCCGAGTAAATAAGGTATTTTTTCCTGTGTTAAAAATGACTTTGATTTTCACCTGTTATTTTACACGGTTAAGAGGTTCCGAACCATCCAAGAAAATTTTTTTTGTTATTCTATTGAATCATAAACCATTAGTTGCACACTATAATGCTTATTCTGTATGTGTCACTTTTTTCCAGCGCAAAATATATTAATTGAACTTTCTTTTCGTTTCGTTTCGTTAGAGAAAGGAAAGTTGAAAGTTAGTTAATGTAAAAATATAAGATATTCAAGTGATTTGAAATTTTCCAAAAGCTCACTTGTTCTTCACACTAAGCGCGGACAAAAGCCCAAATAACATAGATACATGAGATTCTTTATTTCAACTTCAAAAATAAAATGTGCATCAGCACAAACTTAAGTTAGCTTTTATTTACACGACCATAACTAATGTGTGACTACTGTTCGATACCAATAGAATTGTAATTGATCTATATACCTTCCTTCTCTTCCGGTTGCATAAGCCAATGTATATCCATCGAATTGTTCGGTGAAAACGTCACCTTCTACATGATCGTAAGACTGACTTGCTCGACCTTTGGTAGTAAAAATTTGCAATCCTCGTATTAATATTGTTGAAAATAGTGTACCATCTTGCCAATATAATGTTACATTACTTAATTTCACTTGAATCTTATATATTTTTTCATCTTTCTCGAGTAGAAATCGTGAGACTTCGCCTTTCTCCTGAATACCATGAACTTTTGCTTCAATCACACTGTTTTGATTATACGAAGATGAATAGGGAAACTGAATCCAATCGAGAGACATACCATTATTCCTAATAATTATTCCACTAAGATAATGGGAGCATGTAAAATTTTCTGTCAATGAATCATCGAACGGATCACCTCCAGTACCACCAAACTTTTGACCAGCTTTGATTAATGCGGTACCTAATCGGAATTCTTTGAAAATTTTACTTCAATAATGAGACAATTCATCTTACTTTTCTCGTTCTCAAGATCTTTTATTTGATGATTGAGTTGATTTATTGTCTGATTAATTCTTAATTGTTGTTCTAAAATAATATTCTCTTTGATTATTAAATCATGTGCCAATTTATTCACATGACGATTGGTTTGAACACACAAAATTATCAATAATATCAATACAATAATCAGTAATAGAAACAATATTACTAGACTTTTACGTGTCCTCAATATTGGATTTAGCAATAGCGTATGTAGCAATTGTGAAAATGAGATTGGTGAGGAACTATCGATAGTAGTTATTTGGTTGATATTTGTGTCATTGATATCTATAATTGTGTCATCATCAGAAGGTACTGGTTGATTGATGGGAACTAATTAAATAATAACACAAAAAAAAAATTAGAAGTGCAGGAGCTTATAGATGCCTACGTTTGTGAGTGCGAAATTTGTCTTCTTCTTGGTCTTCGAAAAGTTGATTCAATATTGGTGGCATTATTGATGTCAAACTCTGAATTGATTCATATGATTGATTTGGTTGCAATCGTTTCATATGTTCTGGACAGGTAACACAAAAATAGAAGCAATACTGGTAATTGAACTTCTCGAAGTGTTCAATCACTTGTGAATTGATATTGTTTTTTTGATCATAGATAGAGGAGTCAGAAAATAGAGTTACCCTACATTGGTTTTCTATGTCTGATCGAAATATCAACTCAGAAGTAATCAAGCATCTTAGAAGAGTCACCGGCTAGATGAAAGAGAAAAATCGATTACCTTTTAAAACTTTAGCAGCATCGATGCATTGAATTTCATTGAAGGCATTTATGAGAAAAGTGAAATCATATTCATTGATTTTATCTTGATCAAAGAGAGATTCCATAAGACTAAGTGTACCGCTAAGTGATGGATCATCTCGAATTCGTCGTGGAATATCATTGCCAAGAAAGAAATGCAAACGCTTACGATCATTATCACTTAGACGATCTTGAAGTTTTAATAGAATACCTCGTAAATGATGATTGTCCATGAATCGAATACTATTTTTTCTGAAATCAATAAAAATTATTTATTTACAGGGTAATAATGAAGATTCTATGAATGACTGAAAAGTAAAAGAGAATCTATCTGAACTCATGTGAATGCTCACAATTTTAGCTAGTGGTCAAATGTCGAATGGATCAACCATCTATTGTCAATGTAATTTCGCTGTTCTTTGTCCAACTTTTCTGTACAGAATAGAAGATCATTTCATGTATAAAGTTATATCTGGAAAATATTTGGAGGATTCTACTTTTATCCATTTGTTCAATCTTAAAAGAACTATGCACACTTTCATTATCTTCGTTTTTGTGAATTAGACAATCAGATAATTGACCCACGAATAAGAAAATAACGCATCATCGGGCAAGAAAAAATATAAAGAGATTAAACTCATACCGTTTTCGACAAAGAAATGTAATCCATCTATTCTGATGTGAATTCGTCTCTGATTTCACTGTATTTGGTTTTTTTTTCAGTTATGAAGATGATTAGTAGTTAGATAGGTAAGAACATAAATTTCAAACGTTCAGTATTAAAAAGCAACTAGTAGGAAACTTTTACTAGTAGCTCTACTCATGCTAGGCCCCTCTTTCCTGCTGAAAATATGAAACTCTTAGGCAGTTTGAGATGTCTGGACATCTATATAATGACAATGGGCTTACTAATGTTCATTTTGTGTTGAGATTTCAGGCTTTTCTTTGATTAGCTATTTTCTAATAACCGAGGAGCTGATTTTACAGACTTTTTGCTGACTATGAATAGATATATTAAGANATACATGAAAATACATTCGATAGCATATGAATGGAATACAAAATACGAACGTATGAGTTAGCCATTACTCAAGAATTTATATAGATTGAACAAAATCACCGATATCAAATCGAATGATCATGAAATTGTTTTTAGATTAAAGAAATTTTTCCAACATAGCCTTGCATCTAGTTGGAAATGAAAACTGTTTGAATTTTGAAGGAAAGAGTATTTTACTGTTAAAAGTTGAGACAGTCTTATGCTAATCAAGTAACCGGTTGTTAATACTATTTGCATAAATCTATATTTTCGTATCAGACTTCGAGTGGATCAGGTTCAAATGAAATGAATCAATTTCTCTCTAACTATAGATTGCTGAAAAACAAAATTCAGTGAAGCATGCAATCTTGAGAAAGGAGTATTTCGACGATTAGCGATTGAACTTATTGAAGAAATAATTGGTCGATGAGAATCTTGAGTATGGACGTGAATGTTGGGATTCTCAAAACAAAAAGTTTAAGATGCTCTAATTGACATTTTGAGAAAAGAAATCGTAAAATATTTTTTTTTTGTGACTAATCAAAAAAAATTAATTCAAAGAAAAAAATGTTCTAGAAGTTGTTGAATTTTTCATTTATTCATTCATTCACGTCTATTCAATTTTAGCCACACATTTCGATGCTAAATTAAGTGATCCATGATAGAAATATGCGAAGAAATTTTTCAAAAGTTTTCTTTATATCAAAAAGAATAAAACAAATGTGTTTTCGGAAAGATCGTTACAAACTTTCAATAATTTTCTATTTTTGTCTCATACGAATGACATTTTCATGAATTTTTTTCAATGTCGATTAACATATATTTTTTACTGAATGAAAATGAGTTTCCACTTCACAAATAGAAGTATATTTTATATAGTTCAACAAAATTTGATTCGAATCATTAAAGAAGCATATCACATAATAAATTACATAGTTCAACGAATTTTCTTCTAAGGCAAATGGTAACAGTAATTGAATTAAATTTATGTTCAACCTGCAATAAACTTTCAGCAAGATGCTTTTGTATTGAATGTAAAAAATAATTTTGTTAGAAGGATTTCAAAGAACGTGAACAAACCATTATTGATGAAATTCAATAATGCAATAGTAAGTTCTCATGATGAATTTCTTAGTCAAATTGAACAATAGAAAAAAATAACAATCGACAAAGTAGAAAAAGCAACAGAAAAGGCTAGTCATGAGTTTAACGAACTAATTGATAAACAAAGAATAACAATAACAAAACAACTTGAACCAATTCCAAAAGAAATATGTTGTTGTCGAGAAGAAGCCAATTTTGTTGAAGATAATATTGATCAACTGCGAAAAAAAGATGCAATTAAAATCGTCAGTGTTCACATTGATCAATTAATTGGAGTCGACTCATTTACATTCTAGAAGAACAACTAAAATGTGAGTATATGAACTAAAGATATAGAAAACAAGAAATTCTTCAATAAGTTGATTGTTTTCTTTTCATTGATCGATCTGAATTAATCGATTCATAAATTATAACTACTTCGAGAGACACACCATGTTCAAAAAAATTGAATATAATGTCATTCAAAACTGTTTCTATAAAACGATATAGAATAGTCTTTTGGACATGATTGATTTCATTTTAAAAAGGAGCTTTGCTGTTCAATATTTGAAGTCACAAGAATTCTGTAATGCATATCAAAGTTAATATTTATTCTTAACTAAAGATTAACTTGAAAAATGATCAAAGATTGATTGTCATATAATACATAGCTCAGAATAATTTTTCATTCATTTTACGATTTTCAATATTTTACAAGCTCGAATCAAATAAAAAATTTTTTCTATAAAAATTTGACAAAACTCCGATGAGAATCAAAATAATTGCAAGATTTTCTAATTGTTTCTCATCGTAAAAATCTCACTTTCGACAACGAGAAGAACATTGACTTTAGTCATTTGATATCATTAACTCTAGTTTATGAATATTTCAACTCAAATTTGAATAAACAAATAGAAATTGTTTCCAAAACTCTCATGAATACGAAAATAAGGATTGTTTTCGAAGATTTCCATAGATCTACATGATTTTGATTCGTCTGAAAATAATTTTAGAATTGGAACCATGTCAATCATTGATAACTGCTCTTACGAACAATATTTCATATTCAATTCCATGATGAACTAATAGATGAACTATATATTTATCAAATTTTTGTCACATTTGCATGTTCATAGAATAAATCTTTTTTAGGATATCGATAGAAGATCAACTGATGTTGAATTTCGATTTAAAATTGAGATGGAAAATAAAATATTTTCAGATTTAAAGGATTTCAGATGATTGTTCCTTTTTTTGAATGTTTACAAACGATTGATTTACATATTTCAATAGAATTTCATGGAAGGTGAATATAGATAAACAAATGAAATAGTTTATATGGAACATTGAAGAATCTTTAAGAAAAACTCTGGATGAGTTCAAATATCTCGATCGAGTGTTGTGCAATGTATTTCTCAAAGAGCATTAAAAATAAACTCTCTGTGAATCTAATTGCATTGACATCAGAATACTTTCTATGATATTAGAGAAAGTTTGATAGGCTATTCATTGAATTTCGTTCATTAAAAGAAAACAAGTTTACTAACAAATTATGTTAAGAAAAGTAAATCTTATTGATGATTACTGCAATATTCTCTGTTTTGAATAATGCGAGAGCTGTTTTTATGCAACTTAGAATATATGTCCTTGGAACGGTGTGGATGAATACAATCGTAACTCATACCCACACCATCCACCCCTTCTTTTTTTAGTTTTTCAAGATATTTCTATGAATTCAATCGAACTTCTTCTATCGATTTTGATTGCTAATCATTGATACAAGGTTATCTAACGGTAATCGGAACGATGCTTCAATAAGTAAACAAATATATTTGAAAATGATTCTTTTGAGAAACATAATATATATACTTCACTGAAGAATGCGATGTAATACAGATTTTCCAATAGTACACAAAATGTGATGTAACACATCGATAATTAGAGTTAGATACAACTTCTTAGTACTAAGTGTGATGTGAGTAAGAGTAAAGCAAAAACATTCTGATAGAAGAGTTCAGATAATAACCTTGACCAAGACAAATAAAGTAAAAAGTTTGCGGACGACGCCGATGATCTTGAAAAGAATTGAACTGAAATTGCTTATTCGTTGTCAACAAGAATGAGAAAAAAGTTCATCGCCTAGCCGTGTGAATAATTTTGCTATCTATAAATAGAAGTGAAATTGAATTACAAGAAAAAGAAATAATCTGGATAGATATCTTTATTTCGAACTCATTTATTGCTTGAGATTGTTTAAACATGTTTCAGTCAGGGATGAAGTTGTCTTATGCAAATGAAAAGTTGATCATTGATTTTTAGTTTGTTAGGTGATGGAAGTTGAGCCTTTGTTCTTTTCGTGATGTTGGCTGTGATAAACAATTTGCTTCATCTTGACTTTGAATAAACAATAATGTTGAAGAAACTCTTAATGAAACGACTGAGATTAAACGAAATTTTCCAAAAGCAACTAGAACAAACGCTCGATTTGTTGATCAACAGAAAAATTCTCATTTTCGCAAGTCAATGGATTCAATAATAGCTCAAGCGTAATGTTTCCTGTATATTTGAACTGTTTTGAAGAATGACTCTTTGTTAGACTTGTAATATATTCTCAATAAATCTATGGTTTCTATTCGCTTTACATTCCATACAATCGAATTGTAACTGCGAGAGATTGACGAACAATTCAGATTAGCTCTAACCTTCTTCACGTGTACATTAAAAAAAAATGGTTGTCATACATTGAACCAAATGTGTATGTTTAAAACAAGGTCCGATGATATTCTGTTTAACTGTTAACGTATCACATAACTATTCCAATCAAAGTTGTACTAATATTAATATTCAAGAGAATTTTGTTACAATATAGTCTATATTTATTTTAATTCTTTTGTGGATCTTTAGTGATTGTTATTTTTTTTTATCTTGCAATAATTATAGACTTGATAAAAATGAGAGAAAAGCTCCAGTCATTTCAATTATCCTTAGATTAATCTTTTTATTTTATATTATTACTGAAAAACGCGACACAGTAAAAAAAAATTTAATTCTGAACAACAATTAATGAAATAGATTTCTATCTGTTAGAATATGATAATACTGATGAAATTA